TTTATAAGGGTACAGGGAAGCTGTGTCTCTGTGGGTTTTATTTAAATTTTGCTCACACAGAGAGTGAGGTAGACTTGGACACCTGGGGCTGCCTACCTTGCAGAAAATGATTTAGCTGGCCCTGTCCAAGCCCCTGTGCAAAAATCCAGCACTCAGTCAAACTCATCATGAGCTCAGATGTACATTAAAGGCACCTGAACTGTCTTTCCTTGTTGAAGATTCCTTCCTTTTTATGTGACACGTTGCAAAAGATTGCATGGGGCTGTAAAAAAGACTGTGCCTCTGGCATTTTGTTTGCAAATGCACTGCTGTGGAGGTGATGGTCAATAGATCTCTCAGGTCTGAGAGATTCTTCTGAACTAGTACAGTGCCATTAAGAAGGCTTCAGTGTCCTGTGGAATAAGAACTTTTTGAGCTCAGTGAGATGCCAGAAATCAGCAAGGTGTGGAAAGAGTGTTGAATCCACCATTCCAGAGGCTGAGATTTATACCTTGGGTTTGAACAGGAAAATCTGAATGACTCTTTCCTATAGTTTGCTGCTTTTGCTGTGTTGTTTTACCAATAACGTTTATCTTGGTCATTTAATGTTATCATAGAAGTGCAATAACAAGGCAATAATGGTGAATAATCAGAAATTCCATCCCTAAGGAAGGCCAATGAGGTCAGTTGTCCAGGATTACCAGCATGAGAAATTAATTAATTCTTTTGTTTCCAATAAAAAACTGCCTGCCTTTAACCCTGCTGTAGACCACTGACTACTTCTCAATTGAGTAATGTAGTTTTTATTTGTGAAACCTCATACCATTAAATGCAATGAGCTCATCCTTTTTCTTGGCATCACCTCGTCTTGATCCTGGCAGAGACACAATGAAATCACAGCAGAGGGAAGGCTGTAAAAAAGGGAGATCATTTTTCTCCTAAAAATAATACGAGTCAAGCTGGCCCTAGCAACTGGGAAGTGAAAACTCAAGCCCAGTTTCGTACTGGAAGTTGTGCACAGATTACAAATCCAACATTGTTACCCTTGATTGTTCTCCAAACAGTGAGTTATGTTCTTCTACATATCCATGTATGTAAAAGGCAGCAAAGCAACTGCAACTAGAGTTGATTCCTTCTCACTATGAGGCTCTGATCTTAACTAATATCTCAGAGTGCTACGAAATGCAAAGGGTGAATGGGTGGTTTTGCAGTAAGTTTCTTTCTCTTAAGGCCCTCTTGGACTTTTTAAACAGCTCTGCTAGGATTGGGAGGCTTGCTCTTTCAGAAATCTTGCAAAGGGCCAAGAAGAATTTAGTTATTGCAGTAGAATGGCTTTTTTCCACGCTTATTTATTTAATGTTTGAACAGTTGGAAATGTCTTCTCAGTGTGTGAATTAAAGGCTTCCTGCCTAGGGTGTGCAAAGGGCTCTGAGCATTCACAGGACATAAAACAGATTCATAATGGAACCCAACAGTATAAACATGTCTTCAGTGCAGACAGGAACCCTCATATCTTGTAATGTGAAACATTGCCCAGTTGTGTCTGTGCTCTCTTCTGCAAATAAACAAGTGAGAGATGTGCCTAAAATGCACAGAAAACTTCTCATCTCATTATTTCATTCTCTTTTTAATACACTTATTTTTTTTTTTTTATGGGGATACTTTAAAGAAGTTTAATATAACTTTGCTGTAACTCAGGCCAGCTGAATTTAGGCCACTTGAAGACACCAAGTAGCCTGATCCAAGTCCCTGCTGCTAATCCTTTTAAATAAGAGATCCTGTGTTATACTTTGTGCCATTTTCTAGGTATAATCACAGAGTATTGGATGGATGCACACTTGAATGAAGATTAGGTTCTCGAGCTCTGCTTTTCCCCAGAATCTCCTTTTCAATTAACTCCAGACAGAAAAAAATGTGGACAACTATTAGGGAGAATGATACTTCTTTTCCCTGGAAAATAATTCCTGGCCAGATTTGTTAGATAACCCTGATACTGAGACCAGAGGTCTGTCCTTCTCAGCTGAGAAAAGTGGATGGAGCAATTAAATTAGATCTGATAGAGTTTTCTTTTTCTGTGTTGTGCACAGATTCTCAACAGTTCCATCACTTTCTTTGATCATCTCTCCTGAGAGAAATGTGGACAGAAGAGGATTGAAAAGGGTCAAAATATAGAAATGTAGAATTAAAAGTAGATGAAGGTAGAAAACTGTAAGGATGTTCTGGTGTCTTTCCAATGATTGACTTGGCTGTGGCACTGCTGGGCTAACACTCACCTGGTGATGAATTCCCAAGCATAGGAAACACTCCACATGTGGCATTCTGGGGGACAGATTAGCACGGGGTATGAATGTGGGGCTGAATTAGAAATCAAAGGCTGTAAGAAAGTGTCAATTCACATCTGTTTCCTGCTCCAGAGCCAGGGGTACAGAGCATGATTGAGGGAGGTTTGAAAAAAATGTTTTCTTCTTTAAAAAGGAAAGAGAGAAGCATGACTCAACCCTCCATGGTATGAAGTCACCATCCTCTCTGTTATTCACTCCCATTATCTTTTTGCAATCTGTTCCCAAAGGAGCTTCCAGACAACCAGCTGCTTATCCCTGCTTAAGAGCTATTTAAAAAAAATAAAAATAAAATAAAATAATAATTATGGTCCAGAGGAAGGGAATAGGGGTGTAGAAGAGTTTGGTACTGTATGAAAATCCTTCCTTCACGTAGAAAGTAAAACAATGTGGCTTTGTGTGTGGGGAGGGAGGGGACAGGCTCTGCAGCACCTGCCTGAATCTGGCACTGCAGCGGGAACTGCCCGGTCATAACTCACAAATACGGCCTGAAAGGTGATAGCCTGAGGCTGAGATTATTTTACAGCCACACCGGGGCAAGTTCCAGTCAGACAAAAGCCCTTCTGCTGGAATCACTGGCAGAAAGTGGATTTCCTGTCTATCTGCCTAGAGGACCTGCGTGGATACAGTACTCAGAGCCCAGTAACTAATGCAGACTTATTTCTATCACTTTCCTCAAGGGTAAGGAATTACACAAAATATGAGATAGTAGCTGAGGAAACTTAATATTGAGCACTGCTGGAGGTGGGGGAAGAAAATGGGGTAATTGAAAAACGGTGTGTCTGCCCTGTGAGATGCCCTGATTTGTTGGGTGTGCTTGTCTCCAGGCAGAGGAAATCCTCTAGGAAGCAGGATTTATAAGCTTTGCTCGTGTAGGATGTGTCCCAGTAAAAAGTCTCTGGCCGTGAAGTGTTTGTTGAAAGGGCTCTCTTGTTTTCCAGACAGTGTGAATTGGAGGGTTTGGTTCCTTAGTCACACACTTGTCTTGTGAAATTTTTTACTCTGAAGGTACCTCTGCTACACTGGCATCTGGCTAAATAGGTAAAAATCCTGGGGAAAACCTGCCAGAGCTCTCCCATGGGATGGGGTGATTGTGTGCTCAGATTATTTATGGAGACCCAGGCATGGGGAGCACTGCCAAGCATCCCGAGGTAGCTTCCCTCCTGACGTGTATTCCTGAAAAAAAAATCATTGCAGGTCGGAGATTTTCGCTCCCAGACGGCTTCAGGTTTTGCCTGGAAGATTCTTGGCACCAGAGGTTCAGAGGTCAAAATGCTTTGATGTGTCAGGAGTGAAATGTTCCTTCTCAAAACACTGAAGTCTTAGAGTAAGCAGATGGTTTCATGAAGAAACTGCCTAAGCACAGAAAGATCTCACAGGTGACTCTCACAGAGCTTATTTCTCAAAATCCAGGGCAAGAATAGTTTCAAGCTGTAATTATGGGTGCAGACTGAGATCCCATTAACTGGTTTTTAAGTGAATTATGACTCGATATGCTACCATTGACGGCTTCCTTGAAAGGGAAGATTTATTAGCCTCTTTTCTGGGTGAGGAGCTGATTTTGGTTTATGTTGGTAGCCAAGAGCCCAGAAGTTTTCATCCCAAAAATGAGCTACTTCTGCAGGTTGCAAACTTTCTAAGCAGAGTGGGGAAGAGGTGATGTACAAATTGAGCTTACAGGGAACTGAGCTACATAGAACTCCTGCCAGTGGTGATTTGTGTTCCAGGAGATGAGAGTAGGATGTCTGAGCACCAAAGTACTTCACAAAACTCAGCTTGTTTTAGTGTTTGCCAAGAGCTGAACTACTGATTTTAGTCAGAAACCTAATCTGAAAGCACCAAGGTTTAAGAAGCAGAGCCCTAGATATTTTCTATTCTTAAAGCTGCAGTAAAACACAGCTTCTTCTCATCTATTTTCTTTTTAAAATAATTAATTTTTTAATGGGTTTTGCACAAACATAAACTCTGTTCATTTTTCATCTCTCTCGGTCAGAGTTTGGTAATGTTAAGAAGGAATGTAAGGGATGTTTCTTCTTAGTAGATACAGTAATCAGCTCTTTGAAAAGAACACAACACCTCTGTTAAGAAAAAAAAAAGATTATATTTATCTGTTTTGAGGGGTTTTTTACAAGTGGAATTACCACTGACAGCTTTATAAACATATCATTCAGATATACAAATTTGCACCCAGCAGATCTACAGTTTACAGGCAACCACAATAAATATGCATCAGAGCAAGGTGAGAAGAGGGCAGCATGTCATAGCTGCTATAATGGGTACCTTCCAAATATTTAAACCACTGTTTCAGCATTCTCAATAGTCATATTGTGGTAATCTAGTGTAAAATTCTGTTTAAAATATGGCATTAGTAGATTAAACAGAAAGACAGAAGAAATGGAAACAGGCACTACGCTTTTCTAAATCTTCATAACTAGATATACTCTAAGTTTTGGTTGAAAGGGAGGACAATTTCAAGTGGTGGTGCTGTTTATTGGAAAGCTTGAAAGCAGTGATAGCTATTGTGTTGAATCTCTGCTGTGCCTGCTCTGGTATTTGGTGATGACTGCTTTGAAAAAAATATTTGAAACTGAGATCTAGGAATTTAATTTCAATCTATTTTTAGTCTCAAATTATATTTTGTAACCTTATTGCCTAGCTATACAATTCATTTTGCAAGAAAAAATCAGTGACTATCAAAGTATTTATTTTTCTCTCAAAGCAAGGCACGAGTAAAATGTGTATTGCCAAGTCCAAATGCACCCTGAGCAGATGTGACCAGGGAAAGGCTGGATGAGAATACATCTGTGTTGTCACTCTCTGGCTGACAAGCTGTATTTCCTGACTGCCTGAGCAGCTAGACAACATTACTGCTGTTTCATATTCAATGTTATCATTGTTTTCTGTAGACACATCTGTGGTAGTAAGACAGTTCCAGAGACAAAAATCAAAATCGTGCCCTCCTTTGGCTTTTTCCCCCTGTGCTCTTTAATTGCCTCTGTAACACAAAGCATCAGACACCTTTTAAAGACTGTGGGCTGCAGGATTTGCAAGCAGCATGAGCTCACTGAGTAGCTGACCCGAAGCAGCGTTGCATCCACATTCTGCTCCATTACTTTCTCCAGACTCCTCTCCCACTGCTACAAGGATTAATCAGAGCTGGGTGAGGCAGCAGAGTCCACATCCTCTGTGTCATGTTCATGTGGGGACACTGGTTGCCCACCTTTAACACGTTTCCACTTCATTCTTCTGTTTTGAAACCATACTTTGACCTGGGTGATGAAAAGGAAATAATTACTGGTCGGCTCAGCCAGAGCTGTGTAAGCAGAGCTGTGCATATCTGTGTGTTTATTGGAATTCTAGAAGAAAAGGTGAACAGAACTTTACAAATTTAAGTAATTTTTCATTCTAAGATGGACAAAAACAATTCTTTCTAAACTGCTCCAGACAGACTTTCCTCTGAAGCCCTCAAAGGTAGCACATGTGCTTTGCCTGGAACCTTCATGCCAAAGAAGCATCTCAACACAAGGGGCACAGCGCCTCTCATGTGTTTTTAACATCTAGGCCATCCAATCTAATGCTTCAGAAATTTTAATTTGCTTCACATAATTGAGCAATTCCTTTATTGTTCACTAGGCTTTGAAAAGGGAACCTGGACTGAGATGAGAACGAGAGAACAGAAATTCGTCTCTCCACAAAACTCTGCCTTTTTTTGTCTCTCCTTATCACCTCAAAATACCACCTAGGAAGATTGCATGTGTCAAACATATAATTCTAATAATTTGCTGTTAATTGCAGTCTAAGGTGCTGTCTATGTTCCATAGGGAAGCCTTGATATATCAATATGTACCAGCTTGCAAGAGACCTGTTATTACCAAATCTATCTTTAATTTAGAGAAACATGATTAAATATATTAACTGCTTACAGAAATTTACACCCCTCAAGTAAAGTCTGGTTTTTAGTGTTAGGGAGAAGGGGGTTTTTTTGTGGGGGAAGGAGGAGGAGCTGGGGAGGAAAGGGTTTGGAAAGTACTTGTCTTTCGGTGAGATCCAGGTTCACGGCTATCTCGTATCTCCTGAGCCTTGTCAAGTAGTTATGGTGGGCAAATTCAGCTTCCAGCTCCTGCAGCTGCTCCTTCGTGAAAGCTGTCCTCTCCTTCCGTGATTTGCTGCTGGGTTCTGTCTTGTTGCTCGAGTTCTGGTTTTCTAAGAGGCAAAGCACACTTTTGTTGTGTAATTTACAGTTCTCTTTGTGTGTGTGAAGGTGAGGTCTGAGCTCTAAACAACTCACTGAAGTGCTCAGTGGAAGTTTTAAGAGGCACTGTAGAAAGAAGGTGTTTCTCTAGCTAGGATGACACCCTGAAAACGTTACATTTTCTGCATTGCTGGACAATGAACTGATGGGCAATTTTTTAGCACCTCCTACTTTGAGGTAAAAATATTTGTTATTTAATGAGGCCAAATCGAAATTATATCCAAAGCAAGACTTTGCCTCTTGTACTTCTTACCATAAACAAAGATGTCAAAATCCTAGTATGATATTTCCAGCTAGCACAGGCAACTCAAGACGAGGGATCTTTGCTCTTTGCCATTCTCTCATGCACAGACAAATGGCAGGGTATGAATCTGTAACTCCACATCCTCGGACTTTCAGCTCACTGTGTTCATGCCACGTGATTCCTGTTTAGTTACAGCAAATGTGCATTGTACTGGTGAGTAAAATGCTTAGTTCAGTAAACAAGATCTGCAGGACTGAAATACAAAGGCCAGAGTAAGACTAAGCCATTTGGTTTCAGTGTTGTTATAGTGTAAGTTTGCCCAGCCAAGTGTCACAAAATGTTTTGCTAATCAGCCTCCTTTCTTAATTCTCAGTCTCACAAGTGCTCTCATTCCACTGCCTGTACTCTCCCCACAACCCTGATTTCATATCACCTACCTGAGCTCTCCTTTTTCCTTTTGGGTGGCTTTTTCTCAGTGTCATTTGTGGTATTTACTGGTGCCTCTTCATCTTCATCCACACCCACTGTCCCACTCGCTGGGTCTGGGCTGCTGCCCTTTAACTCCTCAGATGCCAAGGCCTGTTGTGGGCTGAGTTGTCTTCTGGTCTCAGTTGCTGCCAGGTGCCAGTCAGAGGGTTGGAAAGGGTGGTGCTGCTCCACAAACGCTCGCTCCTCGCGTGGGAAGCTGTGGGGAGCTGTCACCAGGCAGGAGGCTGAGAAGTCAGGGTAAGAAGTATCGAAGTCTGGTCTGTGATGGAAGGAGAAGGGCGCTGCTGGGCAGTGGTTGAGCCCTGGGGCTGTGCTGGCATCCGTGGGGGTGCCCCTCAGGCACCCCCAGAGGGTGGGGGCAGGCTGGGGGCTGCGCATGCAGCTGCTGCCGGTGGGATCCATCAGCTCCCAGTCCCGTCCACACCTCAGCGATTGTCACCGGTGACAGCTCGGGCTTCAGAATCACAAGAGAAGCAGAGGGCAAATCTCCCCAATTTTACAGGGTTTTCCCCCCTAAACAACAGTTTGTCAGTGGGGTTTGTGCTGCTGCGGATTTGTCACAGCGGGAGCTCTTCTAAATCTCTGCATTGCCCCGACTGGGAAACAGGACCCGGAGCTGTGCAGGGATCTCCACGAGTTGCTTCCCAAAGCCTGCAGTTTTCTTCCCTGTGAAGTGCTGGGCATGAGTGAAACCCCTTTTTAAATCCTGTGCTGGGGAGAGAGTGACAAGTTTGTAAAGTGAAATGTGAGGAAGGGGAGGGAGGGGTTAACACACATAACTCTCGGCCCCTCCAACCAAAGCAAAGCAGGCAGCTATTAATCATCTGAAACCTTATATGCACATCTAATGGGATTTGCAGATGGAGCCTTTTAAAGAAACAATGTCTGTTTTTTGTGTGGTTTTATTTTATTTTTTTTTTTAAGTGAAAGACCTGCACACAAAAAAAGTCTTTAATGTTTCTTTGCAACGCTGTGAAGTTATTTTTATTGCACTGTTAACAAAACTCCCCCAATCTTGGGTTTAGAAAAAGACCCAAAACATAATTCCACAGACACCAAATTTCAAGAACTAAAGTGGGAAATAAAAGTAAGAAAGGAGTTTACTAATTATATGTAATTTAAGGCATAATCCTAAAATTTAAAAAACCAATAAACCTGGCTGGTACAACACACATGCAAGGATTTGAGTGATGTTTTGTTAGATTTGTAACACGTGTATTTACTGAGAGTTTGGAGTTTGCTGCCAGTGACAGTTATTCTTTCTGTATTCTACTTTCTAGAGAATTTTCAATGTTCCACCCCCCCTGCAAGGAAACCTCTTGATTTTATGACAAGGAAAGACATGGTTTTCATCTTTTGTTGAAGATTTTATAGTTTTTTCCTAGCAGAGAGCAGATTCTTAGACCCTAGAGCCATCAGAGTTGAAAATACACTAGCAGGGAATCTGTTCTCAGTGCCTTTTTCACAGGAGTGTGGCAGCTGGGAATGCCCCAAACCCTGCTGTGCTGGGATTACTGGATCTGGGTGGATTGAGGAATGTGCTTTACCCTGTTATATCTGTTGGTTCTTAGAACTTGGCTTTCTGCAGGAAATCAAGTGATTTCAGTTCAGATCATTCCAAAGAAGAACACCAAATTCTGTTCTATCACATCAATCTTGACTTCCTTGTAAAATACTCGGTATCTGATAACCTAATTCATTCTCGAGAAAGAACTCTCCTAAATATTTAAACCTCTTGTTCTGTTGCATCAGATAATAAACACTAAAAAGTATTTCATACTCACTGGCAGGAGGAAACCCCCTCAGACTGCTCTTTTTCTGAAAGGTCAGGTAATAATGAAATTATGAATGCTGCAAATGTTCCAGGCACTGGCAGGATCTAAATCAGAGTCCAGAACTTTTTGCCAGTGCAGAATATTTAATTTATATTCTGTGTGTGTGTGTGTTTTCATATACATAGCACTTTGCTCACGCAGATTGTCAGGGGTTTGTATGAATTCAGCCTAGCTCTGTTGTTTTTCAGTCCTACCTTCAGGTTAATTATTCAAACATTTATGTTCTTGCACATATGTGCTTGCAGGGATAGAAGAGAAAGGAGGATTGTTCTTTTAATCCCTTAGCCACTTCAGTCAAGATCAGCTTTAGGCTCCCACTCAGGAATCCACTTCAGGTCTGACCAGAGTCTGTCTATCTATCTGCAGGGCCTGACTCAGCTTCCCAATGGATCCCTCACTGTTATTCCTCCAGCTACAGATGTGGGAAAAGGAGATGGAATGCCCTCCTGAGACGTGGGAACCCTCAGATCCTGCAGAGCTCCAGCACCCTCAGCAGCTGGTGCTGTCACTTGGTGCCTCAGCAGGGGCCAGGGGACCTCTGCATCTTCCTGACACTTTATTCCTGAAAGAACAACAACCATCCCCTCCTTGCTAAATCCCATTTGTTGCTCGAGGCAGCCACCTTTAACCTTCGTAAAGTCAACATCTCTCCAGTCAAGGACTGAAAAACTGGTGGGAAAAACGACGCGGATGGGGATCGGATTTTTGGGGGGGATGCTCCCATAAGAGCCTGAAGTTTGGGAAGTGGGGATTTGTCTTTCTATCAGTCCACCCTGTGGCTTCCCCAGGCAAACAGGAGAGCCAGCAGAGGGCAGAGGGATGGAGAAGGAATGCCAAGGTCAGACACAGTAAACACCTGGGAAGGAGAGGAGAAAAGGGGGTTCAACAGCCACGAGAGCTGGGAAGGAAACACCAAGCCCAAAGATGGGCCCTGTGGGTCCATCAGTCATTTTAAGAGTTTTCTCAGCCCTTCTGAAGGTATAAAAGAAGTATAAAGCTTAGGCTAATAGAGGCAGCCTGCCTAGAAGGGGAAAATGATCTCCCACCAGTGAAAGTTAAAGAGCCACGTGGTTAAAGAGCTCCATTAAAAGACATTAGATGTTGGATGAAACGTCGACTTGCATTTTGCTCTAATGCCCTGTGACAAATTAGTCCAGCTTAAAAGGCCTATACTTGCAGGAAATCGGTGTTAGATTTTTGATAATTTGAGGGAGGTGGTCTAGGGAGTGAGAAAGTCTGCATTTCTTCTCCAAAAAAAAAGGAAAAGGAAAAGAAGAAAAGCAGCTGTTTTGTAACAGTGACATCATGGTTGTACTGTATCTTTATCTCTCTCCTCCCTAAACTTCTTGGAAGAGGTTTTCAGTCCATTTTTAGGGAGCTTTAAAGCAGAAATTGCCTATGATGCCAGAGAAATAATGTTAAAGAGGAGATGCCAAAGAACCAGCTGCTCAGTCTGAAACAGTACAAGGAATATCTGAAGTCATGTGAGTAAATAATGCTTTTAGCTCTGAAGAGTTTTACACCTACTGAGATTCAGTGTCTGACCTGCTCTGTAGATGGGGAGCTGGCATCATCACCACGAGAATTTCTAATTTAATGATAATATTACTGTTAGCACTAAGTCAATGTTTCCGGTATTCATTAAATTTGATGGCTTCACAGGATTGAAAAAAAAAATTAAAAAATCCTGCTTCCAGTACAGGAAACATCAAGAAGTGTTCAGAGACATCTACATGATCATTTTTCTTAGGGCAGAGAGCAGCAGAAGCAAAAAAGCAGAGGAAAGACAGGGCCAGCTTTAAGTTTGCAGTAAAACAAACAAACAAAAAAAAAATAGAAAAGGTGGTGCTGCTGCCACTGAAAATGGGCAATTTGACACAGTAAATTCTAGCATGGGTAGATGTGTTCTTTAAAATAGTCAGAACTCATTCCTATGTCAAATAACTGTTATGGGAAATTATTTCTCCCCCCTCCTTAAATTAAAAAAGTTTTTTCTGAGTTCTTATTACTTGGAATGCAGTCACAGAATGTTTATTGTTTTGAAGAGATCAGTGTAAAATTTCTGTTCTGTTTAAATTCCCTTTTCCCGTCAGTTCTGCTGCGAAGAAATGAACTGTTAGTGGTGGAACATCTCCCTCTGTTGGTACCTTTTTAAGTGCAGCATGTTTACTTTATATGATGCACCATCATATGCTTATATATAGTCAATATTCTATAAAACCTTTTTCCTCCCTCACTGTTTGTGTAAGGGTGCTGCTGACGAGCACAGGTTTGCCTTGGAAAATCATTTACAAATGTGATTTTAACCTGTTACCTTTGCATCAATAGATCAAGTTCAGAATTTTTGTAAGGATCCTTTGTTTTCACACCACGAGGGGGAGATATCCACCGGCAATTCTGGGTGAAGAAACAAGAGTAAAGCCCTCTGATGCCTCCCTCCTCCCGAAAATAAATAAATAAAATAGCACAGCCGAAAGCATGCAGATGCTTTATCGAGAGGCTCCATAATTCTTTGGGTTTACAACAATAATAATAATAATAATAATAATAATAATAATAATAATAATAAATTTATGAACTGTAGCACCTGTGACTGTGGGAATTTCCAAGGAATTGTGCAGTCTGTTCCACAGCCCCACGGGCAGGATTTGCTTGCACAACCTCCAGGATGAAGTCAAGAGCTGGGAGTGTTTTCCCAGCCAAGGGGCAAGGAAAACTGGAGGGGATCTCCCTCCCCAGGAAAGAGCCCCACACCTGAGCACGTAAAGGACTTCATAAATTCACAGCTGGACCATTTCTTTTTAGGAAAGGCCGGTGCTTCAGTGTCCAGCCAACAAAACCAAATTCACAAACCCAACATCACAGCTCATGGTAAAGGAGGAGGGAAATCAAGGCTTCAGACAGGACCATTTGGTTGGACTAAAAAAAAAAGAACTGTGAAAACTTGTTTTTGCTGAATTCATATTCCTCCTCTCCCTAGCTGTAAGCCTTTGCCTTGGGGGTGTTAGCTCATTTGGGTTTATTTTATATTTATGACTTATACAATCCAGGCCCCTGCAGCAAATTATGAGTGTGTTTGCCAGATTGTTGTCTAGGACTGAGGGGAGAAGCCAATTTTTATTTTTTATTTTTTTTTCTTGTCTTTGGACCGTGGCTATTTTGGGAGAAATGGGTGTGAGGAACAAAATCCTGTGCTAGAAGGTGACTGTGACAGCCACTCCTGTGGTTTGTTGCTTGAAGACAGTGAGGCACCGTGGTTCCTGCTGTGACTCAGGATGTTAACAGTTATGGTTTATGGAGGAGAAACTTGATTTTCACATTTTCTTGAGTACTGCACGTCTTGTTCTTTTTAGTTCCATGCATGAAAAGAAAAAAAATTTAAAAAAAAAGAAAAAAAAAAAAAAAGAAAGGTGAAATGTTTCTAGTGGATGCCCCAAGAGAGTGCAGAGTTTAAAATCAGGAAAACTGAGGAGAAATTCATTAAAACACACCCCTGTCCACCCCACTCACATGCAGAGCCAGGAGTGACAAAGCAGCCAAAGGGCACGGGGTAAAGATGCTCCAGGATGGCT